TTTTGTAGATTGGAACTATGTTAGCCTGTTTCCACCCGTCTGCTACGATTCCTGTACACAGGGATGCCTGAAAGATCAGGTGAAGTGGAATGCTGAGCTCAGATGCACATTCTCTCAGAACCCATGGTGAAACGCCATCTGGGCCAGCTGCTTTGTTCTTACCGAGCTCCTTGAGCATTTTTTCCACTTCGTCTCTAGTTCTAGTCTCTAGTTCGTCTGTGGTTCGCGTCCTGCGTAGTTCTCCTCATAGATGCCTCCGGGATGTGTCCTTCATTCTTTCCTGCTAGAGCTGTTTATGTTGCTCCTTTGGGTTGTGGGGTCTCTGTTTTTTGTTTTGCTTTTTACGCTTTCGTTCGTGGTGCTCGTTTTCTTCATTGGCCACTGCCTGGGTCCTGGCTCCTTGGTGTTTGGCCTTGGACCTTCAGGGGTCCTGGGGGGGGGGGGGTTCCTCCCGGACAGGGGGTTTCTGCTCGCCAGGGTTGGTTCTTTTCGGCTCGCTGGGGCTGGGTTCCTTGTTTCCCTGGCGGCTGTTCCTTTTGGTTTTTGCCTGCCTTGGTGAGACCTGCTGCTTTCCTCAGTTTCGGTCAGGTGGGTCTTCCTGCGGCTCCACCTCTTTTTGCAGATCGGTCCTGCTCTGTACAGGGCTGGTTCGTTCTTTCCCTCAAGTTTTCGTGTCTGAGGTTTTTGTCTCTCGTTTCTCGTGTCGGTGCTTGCTGGTGGGTTCGTTGTTTGTCTCCCACCTGCGTGTTTCGTTTCGGGGGTGGTGTGTGGTTTTCCTGGCGGTCCTTCCGGTTTTCCTATCACTGTGAAGGGTCCTTTGGTTTCTGATAGGGTTGGCTTGTCTTCCCTTCGGAGTTGTTCTGGGACCATGTACTGTCGCCTTGTATTGGGTGGTGCTGGCGGAGCCGCTCCAGCTGGCTGGGTCTTGTGTGGGACTCTCGGACCTCTTCCTTGTCTCTCTCTCTTGTGACGCTGTTATAGGTGTAGTCCCACCTCCGGCTGTTTCTGGAAGGCACCCGGGTCACACGTCGGTTGTTCGAGCGGTTGTGAGGGAGCTTGAACTTCGCCGTGATGGTCTACCCATCAGGTCGGATCTGGTTTCGGTGGATGTTCTGGTTTCTGCGGGGTCATCCCTTCCGCCGCTCTCGTGATCGATGGGTTCGGATCCCGGGAGCCTTGTGTCGGCTGCTGCGTCCCTGGCTTCCTCTGCGGGTTTTTCGGGGTTCTGTTCTGTGGCACCTCCCCGAGCCCTCGCTCGATGTGTTCGTGGATGCGTCGTCTCTCGGCTGGGGTTTTGTGACAAGTGCTCACCAGGCCGGCCAGGGTTGGTGGGGTCCGTCCTTCCATCAAGCTGACAGCATGGCGAGGGAGTTTGTGGTGGAGTGGCATTCACTTCAGAGGATTTGGGTCGCTCGAGGGGCAACGATCTGGCTCCATTTGGACTGCTCCCCGGTGATTCATTGCCTGAACTGCGGGGGTTTGAATCGGTCCTTGGTTCTTTGGGGCTGATCGCTTCGGGTGACTCGTCTGCTGAGTTTTCAGTTTGGCTCTCCTGGCGGTTCATGTTCAGGGGGTGTCAAACGTCCTGGCGTACAGCCTGTCTCGGTTCATTCCCCTTTCCAGGAAATGGACGGTCAACGCCGACTCGTTCAGTTGGCTCTGCCGGACGTACGGGCGCCCAGAGGTGGACCTATTCGCATTGGCGTGGTCGAGGCGTCTTCCAGTTTGAAGCACCCTTCCCAGATTGCAAGGCCGTCGGGCTCGATGCCTTGTGCTGGACTGGTCGAGTTGGAGTTACCTGTACCTCTGCCCTCCGCCCTCCGGTTCGGTTGTTGCTCCAGATCCTGGCTTGGTTGGAGACTTGCCAAGGGAGAGTAGTCCTGTTGGCTCCTTGGTGGCCGGGCCAGCCTTGGTTTCAGGCGCTTCTTCCTCGCTGTCCGAACCCTAGAGTCTTCCTGCGGCTCCACCTCTTTCAGCAGATCGGTCCGGTACGTTACGTGGTTGGTTTGATCTCCTTCTCCACTCTTCGCATCTGGTCTCTTTGACGTGGGTGTATCACCACTTGTATGGCGATCAGGTGGCTTAGTTGATGATGTCCCACCTGCGAGTTTTGTCTAAACGGCAGTATGAAATTTCCTGGCGGCTCTTTTGGCAATTTTTTGTCTCTTCATAGCTTGTCTTCAATTCTGATGGGGTTTTGTCCTTTCTCTCTTAGCTGTTTCAGGACCGTCATCTTGTGCCAAATACTGTCGCCTCGTTTCGTGCTGTGCCGGCACCCCTGTGCCAGGGGTGCATCATGTTTTGTGTCCAGTTGCGGCTCTTTGCCGATATCTGTGCGCCACGGCCTCCGTGGTAGGGGACGCGCTTTGGGTGGACCTGGTTCCCCTTTCTTCCTGTTCTTCTTCCCTTGTTCCAAGGTGCGGTTCTCCCAGGTCGTCCGCAGGATTATTCGGTCCAGCCAGCCTGCGGTCTTTCCCAGTGCCCACGACGTTCGTAAGTTCGCGGCTTTGGCTGCTGTTTTTGGGAATATGTCCTGGGCTGACATTCGGTCACGGGGCTTATGGAGGTCGAACAGGTTCCTGGCTGCACGATATCTCGTTTATGTTCCTGGGCCTTCTCGGGCGTGTGTAGTCTTGGGTCGCAGGTTGCAGCCATTTGTCTCGACTTCGAGTTGAGGAGCGAGTGACGACTGCCTCCTGGGTAAGTCCCTCTTTTTCTTTGACTTTGGTTAGGTAGCTCTGGGGAGCCGAAGGGGCTCTCCACAGAAAACCAGCGTTGAATGTAATGAAACGCCATTTTCTGGTCCTCAGGCAGTGAGGACCTCTCTGTGGTGCATTCTCTGGCACGTTTTGCCTGCATACCACTAGGTCCTGGTTGTGGCTCACTGCTCGATTTTCTCACAAAGAGGTCCATTGACTATTGTTTTCCCTTCTTCGCAACATTTATCTGTAGTGAGGTATCACATTGTCATTGAAAAGATTAGTGCAACTCCCTACTACAGCTTTCTCTGGGTGAATCGTTTCAATAAAAGTTTGCATTTCTTCCCACATCTGACACTACTTCTTAATGGTTGCAGAAGGGACATTCGCTACTGCCTCCTCCTCCTCCACTGGAGAAACATCCTCAGCTGGGTCTTCTTGCTGTTTCTTTTGAAGGGCTTGGAGTTCTTCGGTGGTCAGTTCTTTGTTGTGTTCTTCCACCAACTCCTCCTCATCATCACCATTCAATTCCAAGCCCATTTGCCGGCCCAGAGTAACAATTTCCTGAACAATAGGCATTTCATTTACAGGCTCAAACCCCTCAAAGTCTAGTTCTGTCACACATTCAGGCCACAATTTTCTCCAGCCAGAGATCAAGGTTCTTTGAGTCACTTCTTGCCAGGCTTTGTCAACGAGTTTTAAAGCACTACAAATGTTAAAATGGTGTTTCCAGAACTCTTTGAGGGTGAGTTTTGTGGCTTCAGTCACTTCAAAACATTTCCAGAAAAGTGCCCTTTCATAAAGTTTCTTAAAATTTGCTATGATTTTCTGGTTCATAGGCTGAATTAGAGGAGTGGTGTTATGAGGAAGGAACTTTACTGTGAGAAAATTACTGTATCTGTGCAACAATTCATCTTCCAAGCTTGGAGGATGAGCAGGAGCATTGTCGAGGAGAAGCAGGGCCTTGAGTGGCAAATGTTTCTCCTGCAGATATTTTTCTATGACAGGGCACACCACTTCATTCACCCACTCCGAAAAAAAAAAATCCTAGTCACCCATGCCCTTTTATTAGCCCTCCACATGACACACATTTGGATTTTCTGCACTTTATATTGTTTGAAAACCCTTGGATTTTCAGAATGATACACAAGCAAGGGTTTAATTTTCAAATCGCCACTCACATTTGAACACAGCACAAGCGTAAACCTATCTTTCATATGCTTGTGTTCAGGCAATGATTTTTCCTCCTTGGTAATGTATGCCCTCTTCGGCAATCTTTTCGAGAACAGTCCTGTCTCATCACAATTAAACACTTGTTGCGGTAGGTATCCCTCAGCCTCTGCAAACTTTAAATTCTTCAATAAATCTTTCAGCCGCTGGTTTGTCTGAGCTGGCAGCCTTCCCATGCCTCACAACACTATAAATACCACTTCTTTTTCCAAATTTGTCAAACCATCCCCAGCTTGCCTTAAAGTCTATCGTATCTGCATTCTTTCCAGGGGTTTTCTTTACAAGGTCTTCGTGCAATACCCTGGCTTTCTCACAAATGATGGCCTCTGAAACACTATCACCTGCTAAATCCTTGTTGTGTATCAAAATTAATAACAACTTTTCCACTTCCTCAAGTATTTGTGGTCTTTGTTTTGTGATTATTCTTACGCCTTTTGCCACTTTAGCACTCATTATGTCCTTTTTCTTGCCAAGTATAGTGCATATCGTTGACGTGGCTTTGTTGTACTGCCTACCAAGTTCAACTACACGTGTACCATTTTCATGCTTCCGAATGATCTCTTGTTTTTCCTCTATTGTCATCCTCACATGTGCTTTCTTGCCTTGATCCTTACCACTGGCTTTCTTGGGACCCATGGTGAGATATATAATAACAACTTTTATGGTCAAATGGCCAAAAATCCAACAAAACACAGTAAATCCTTGTGAAGAAATCAGGCGGGATAGTCACTAGGTGCAAGGCATTGGTAAACTGAGGGGGCAATAGCCATGTCACCACGTGCTAGGTTGGCCTGTACGCTTATCAACACCCTCGTCTTTCGAGGCAATGCTCGTATTCTGATATAAATTTTCCGAGCAAATCCTGTCCGTATTCTGAAAAACTCGTATACAGGGACACTCGTATTCCGAGGTACCATTGTACTGTTATTTCATGAATGTAAAATAATTATGATATACTATATATTCAGTTCTGTAACTTAAAATTAATACTGTATAGTAAATTATTTATTTGAGCTTTCTTTTTCTATTCCTATGAATACTGTACTATTTTACCCTGAAATATTTACGCAGGTGGAATAGTTAATGGTCGTATCAAACTGACCTTCACTAGCCAGCCCATGTTAGAAGACACACTCACAGTGCTCAGCAGTGATGAGATAAAGCTTGCTTCATTGAAATCCAGACCAGAGGACATTGATCAACCCACAGACCAGGCAGAGCAAGCAGCTATGGCGGGGATGGTCATAAAGAAGACGATTATCTCTCAGGTTCGGTTGTTTCATTGCTCTTTGTGATTTAAAATGAAAATGATTGAATTTGGAAACATTTTGACATTAACTTTACCTGAACATTTATAAAAACAACAACATATATGTCCTTAACAACTGCACCATGAAATTTTAGCCAAAAACAGGTGCGCAGTCCAGGGGTTCGATAACATGCCCATGTTTTTCCATTTGTTTGGAATTGTTATAGTTGTTTGATTTTGGTGTAAGTTAATCCAGTACTACACATGGATAAAGGATTGATGCTATAATAACCATGAAAATAAAATACAAAATGTTCTAAAAATACTTAATTATTGCCCATCTTAAAAATTTGGAAGTTATTGCCTGTCAGCCAACAAAATCAAGTACAAAATATTTGTACAAATATATTATTAAAATATGATATGAAATGGGAAGAGATGTAGTGGAGGTAAAAGTGGCACTACAAAAAAAAATTGTAGAAAATGTAGCCATAACTCCTAGACGGCACTTGGGATTATAGCTTGGAACACCACTAGGCGCAAGAATTTCTTTTTTCTAAGATTGTTAACAGGCAAAAGGTAATCGGTCAAGTTAATGCAGAAGGTTATCGGCCAGGCAAAGTATTAATTAACACTTTGCCTGGCTGATAACTCATAATGCATCCTTATGTGAATATACAGTACTCAGTCTGGGCGAGGACGCACGCTGTATCCCAAATTAAAATGTTCTTTAAAAATCCAATTTTCTGGGGGGGAACCCCATCGGCTCCCCAGAGCTATCCAGGCTGATGTTGCTAATGTCAGACTTTGGCATCAGTCATGTGTATGGAGTTCTTAGGCTTACCAGGGACCATGAGCCACAACCTGGCCCCCTCAGAGAGAGGCATAAGGAGCAATGGCCTATAGAAACCCCCATGTGGTTGGAAGCATTCTATGTCTGCCATCGACCAGGTTAGGCGCCCAGAAAGGTAAGCATCCCAAAACCAACCCTTATTCTGGTTAGGAAATTGCTATTGAGAGCCAAACTAGTAAACAGAACTCCCAAAATAAAAACGAGCTAACGAGCATGACGTCACCACATCGCCCCACTGTCGTCTACGCAACTCCCCCCTTCCCGGGAGGGGGAAGAGGGAACCCCAGACCCCTTGCACCGGCAACCCAAGACCCCAGTTCTGAGGTTGATGCGCTAGGCAGAAGTCATGTGCTCTGGCTCCAGTTTTAGTCTCAGCTCTGTGCCTTGTGGCGTGGTGGCTGTCATATAGGGAGTGTGCAAGCCAGGAGTAATTCTTCAGTACTCGGGCTGCATGCGCCTAGGGTTACCTTCCCTAGGTGCCCAGTAAGTACAGTATCCCCTCAATTTAATGACCTCTTTTATGCCGATCTGCCGGTAATAACGACCGGTTTGGGAAACCGGTATCTGGAGCCTCATATATAATGTCTGGCGGTCGATATAACCGTAAGTCGGTATTGGGTTTGTTTTGGTATTGGCGGCCCCTCACATGGCAACAGTCCACCGACCTCCAAGGCACTGAGGGAGGGAGGCATTGAGTGGGAAAGGCAGGGAGATTGGTGGTGGTGAGGGAGGCAGGGAGAGTGGTGGTGGTGAGGGAGGCAGGGAGAGTGGTGAGGGAGGCAGGGAGAGTGGTGAGGGAGGCAGGGAGAGCGGTGAGGGAGGCAGGGAGAGCAGTGATGGTGGTGGTGGTGAGGGAGGGAGGGAGGGAGGGAGCGAGAGTGTTGGTGGAGTGGTGAGGGAGGCGTGTTGCTGACCAGGCGATGGTTGCCAAACCTCTCACCCACACTATATTAAAAATTTTAATCTTAGTTGTAAAATATTCATGACAAAATGTTAATTTTTGTATATTACTATACATTATTAATCATTAACTTGTTTTATGGTTTTATGGAGGGAAGAGTAGGGTTGAGGGAGGGAGGGAAGATGGGGGGGGGGGTTGAGGAAAGAATAGGGGTGAGGGAGGGAGGTGTTTGGTTAATATGGTTCACTTGTTGTGTGGTCCACTTGTCCACTTGTGTGAGCCAACTTGTCATATGATGGAATTACTAATTGTATTCTATGATAGAAAGGGCATTAGCACGGGAACTAACTTCGAGCGCAATTACACAATGAACTTTATTTCATTTTAGTTATGTAAAATATATCTTACCCGAATGTTACTCGAAATATTAGCGACACTTCAACAACTTCGGAAATACCAGAGCTCCGGAAATAACGACCTGGGTACAGCCCCATGTAGGTCTTTAAATCGAGTGGATGCTGTACTGCCCTTCGGGCTTGGGGCCACCTTCCACAAGTTCCTTGGGTTCTGCCTCTGCTTGGCCGTTTACTGCTCGGTTTTTGACCGCCCTTTGTGTGCTAGGGTGTTCTGTCTCCCTTGTTTGCCTTAAGGGATGGGGTAGTTTGCACTGGTAAGGGGTGCAGGGTACTGTGCAGTTTCTTTTCACCAATCATAGCCGGCTGATTCTGTTCCGCCTGGGTACGCTGTACTCTTGCGGGGTTTTCTTTTTCTTTTTCTTTGCCTGCCTGGTGGGGGTCTGCCTTGGTTTTTGCCCCCTGTGTACTCAGTATTCTTCTCTATTCTGGTGGCTCCCCCTGCTTGGTTCCTGTGAGTGTACACATTCCGGGTGTTCAGTTCTTAGAAAGTTGTGTGGTAGACTTGGGCGCCAGTTAGCAGTACCCTGCCTGGGCTTCCCTGAGCGTGAGTTCTGTCTCAGGACCCTAGGAATCCCCTTGGGGGTGCGTGGGTCCAGTGGATGTGAACCCTGAGTCCCCTCTTGCTTTGTACGAGTTCGAGGGCTGCTCTGTCCCCCTTGTCTCAGGGTGACTCTCATTGTTTTTGCCTCTGTCAGTTGCCTGTTGGGTCGGTGGCACCTTCGACCCGGAGTCCTGTGAGTTTTGTTGCTTGTTTGTGACTCGGTTACCCAGTCCTATGCTGACTATGCGGGTGCAGGCAGCACGAGCATTGCACGTTGGGTTCAGGTGGTTGCAACGCGCTAGGTTGCTCCGGAAGCCCTGAGGCTGCCTCGTTTTGGTTGTTGTGACGGGGCTTGGGGGGTGTTGGTTGCTTCGGTTTTGTTTCCGTCCATGCCCCCCATGTCTTTTCCCCCTGTTGTGGTTTAGTCTGGTTCCCTCCTTCCTCTCTGCATTCAGATCCTCACCGTCTGTGAGTTCGGGGTCAGGGCGGGGTTTCAATGGTCTTGAGACTCGGGCAGTCTCAGGGATTTCCCCTTCAGGGGGGTAGCGACGGAGGCCTTCGAGCTTGTTCCTCGAGCCGTGATGTATAGATCTGCCAGTGGGCTCCCTTTCTTAGTACTTAACCAGCTGCTCCGGCTTTTTCTTGTGAGGCTGGGGCTTTGGGGGGACAGCTCGGCCCCGGGTCTTGCCATGGAGATTTCCGAGCTTGGGGAGGGGCTGACTTGGAGGGCCTCAGGCCCCCCGTTGAACCCCGCCGGGGCTTTCTACCTTCTAAGCGGGGTTTGCTGTTATGGGGAGTTGGGGTTTTCCTTTCCTCCCTCTGCGTACGAGTTGTTGGGCGTTGGCCCCTCCACTGGTTTGGTTCCTTGTCCATACGGGTCAGTTGGTTCCGTTCTGTTGGTGGGTATTCTTCTCTGTTTTCTCACCCTTCTTCTCTGTGACAGGACTTGTCCATCATGTCGAGGTCGTGTTCCCCTCATATCGGGGTTCTGCATGACCTTAAGTCTCGGGTGCGACTGTGTTTTTATAAGCCTTTGTGATTTTGTGCTTGCTTCTGTAGGATCTCAAAGGATCGGGAAGGTCTTCGATTCTTTCCGTATTATTGGAATGTCTGTTGTCTTCCAGTGAGGCCTTTCTAGGACTACCTCCAGTTCTTTCTAGGACTCGTTGGTCCTCTTCCGTGCTTTATCTTGGTTTTCGGTACTGTCTCGTTCTTTTGTACTTATATCTTCTATCCGTGTTCTGTCTCTGCACTGCTAATATTCCTTAAATACTCCTTATTGGTGCCCTCCCTGCTAGGCGGGTTGTGTGGTTTGGACCTCATGCGTCCTGCACATGCACCGTGGAGTTTGTTTTGTTTATGGATGGTGTAATTACCTAAGTGTAATTACCTAAGTGTAGTTACAGGATGAGAGCTACGCTCGTGGTGTCCCGTCTTCCCAGCACTCTTTGTCATATAACGCTTTGAAACTACTGACGGTCTTGGCCTCCACCACCTTCTCCCCTAACTTGTTCCAACCGTCTACCACTCTGTTTGCGAAAGTGAATTTTCTTATATTTCTACGGCATCTGTGTTTAGCTAGTTTTTATCTATGACCTCTTGTTCTTAAAGTTCCAGGTCTCAGGAAATCTTCCCTATCAATTTTATCAATTCCTGTTACTATTTTGTATGTAGTGATCATATCACCTCTTTTTCTTCTGTCTTCTAGTTTTGGCATATTTAATGCCTCTAACCTCTCCTTGTAGCTCTTGCCCTTCAGTTCTGGGAGCCACTTAGTAGCATGTCTTTGCACCTTTTCCAGTCTGTTGATGTGCTTCTTAAGATATGGGCACCACACAACTGCTGCATATTCTAGCTTTGGCCGAACAAAAGTCGTGAACAATTTCTTTAGTATATTGCCATCCATGTATTTAAAAGCAATTCTGAAGTTAGAAAGCGTGGCATAAGCTCCTCGCACAATATTCTTTATGTGGTCCTCAGGTGATAGTTTTCTATCTACAACCACCCCTAGATCTCTTTCTTTATCAGAATTCTTTAAAGATTTCTCACATAATATATAGGTTGTGTGGGGTCTATGTTCTCCTATTCCACATTCCATAACATGGCATTTATTAACATTAAATTCCATTTGCCAAGTGACGCTCCATGTACTTATTTGGTCCAGGTCTTCTTGAAGGGCATGACAATCATCTAAGTTTCTTATTCTTCCTATTATCTTAGCATCATTAGCAAACATGTTCATATAATTCTGTATACCAACTGGTAGATCATTTATGTAGACAATAAACATCACTGGTGCAAGAACTGA